GTGGATTATGTCCAAAGGGATGTCTAGATGGAGGGTGGAAATCAGTCTGTGCTTCAGTTGCAGCATATGTGGATGGAGCTGCATCCTAAGAACTTGCACCCATAGGTACAGGGGTCCCCATTTGTGGTTGCCTGACAGGCTGCATCATTGAAGGCTCACCACCCTGCGGGAACACAGATGGAGGTTTTCTTCAAGCGCGGCTGCCTTTCTGATCCGAGTAAGAAAATACCAGTGTGACGCCAACAGTGCAGTCCTGTGCAGAATTACTCCAGTCCAAGCCCATTGATTTCAATGGGCTTAGACTGGAGTAACTCTGCATAGAATTGCATTGAACATGACCCAGTGTTAATATGGATTTTGCATCGCATGGTGTTCTGGGCAACATACCTTAAAAAAAAAAACACAAAAAAACCCTTTACAACTTGAATTTTGCACCAGCACATTAGAGGCAAATAAATCCTAAATCACTTATCCCAGTCTTAGAATGGGTAGGGATTGTGTGCTGAGCTTTGGTCCATGCCCTAACTGCCATGACGTGACTTTCTCAGTGTTCAAAAATGAAAAATAATTTCAAACTCTGGACCCATCGTGTGTGTAGTTGGGGGCTTTTAATTTATTGAAAACTTGTTGTGAAAACAGCCCCAGGGACCTAATATTTTTTTCCATCCCAGCTGCTCCAGATGAACTGCAGCTGCAAATTTAAGCAGTATTATTTTTAAAACCACTGAGTATATTTTATAATGGCAATAATTTCCACAGAAAAAAATCAGTTACTGCTGCTAATGACTTGTTTGTTAAGGATTAACTACCCTCAGCTGGGAATGACCACATATTCTGGAATGGTGGTATAAACGCAAAGGACAATTGAATAGCACTTCAGAATAATGATTTGATTAATTAATAGTAAATTCCTGAGAGAAGACATGCAAAGTATTTCTAACCACCCTATTTATTAGTCAGTGATCTCATCATTACTGAGGTTTACTACTGCAGCACATAACAGCCAGGCAGTTAGTTTCTTGAGTTGTTGGCCAGAGGTGATCTGGCTGACCTGTCATTAAGCACAACATATTCTGAACATGTTAGTTGGTTGGGTTTCCCCTGTGTCTTTAACCAGATTTACATAGGCCTTGTATTTTGCATCTTGCAATCTAAATTGGCAAGAAATCCCCTCCCGCAATACCTAACCTATAATAGAGGCTGGGATATTTGGCCTTGACTCCTTTGAACAAACAAACCCATAGGTGACCAAACAGGAAACAGAAATATGGGTAAATCCAGCTGTCTTTTGTGTTGGAAAAATAGAATCATAGAATCACAGAGTTGGAAGGGGCCATAAAGGCCATGTAGTCCAACCCCCCCTGCTCAGTGCAGGATCAGCCGAGAGCATCCCTGACAAGTGTTTGCCCAGCTGCTGCTTAAAGATTGCCAGTGAAGGGAAGCTCACTACCTCCCCAGGTAGCTGATTCCACTGTTGAACAACTCTTAACTGTGAAAAAGTTTTTCCTAATATCTGCCTTTAATTTAAACCCATTATTGCGAGTCCTATCCTCTGCTGCCAACAGGAACAGCTCCCTGCCCTCCCCTATGTTGCAGCCTTTCAGATACTTCAAGAGAGCAATCATGTCCTTCCTCAACCTCTTCTTCTCCAAATTGAACATTCCCAAGTCCCCCAGCCTTTCCTCATAGGACTTGGTCTCCAGGCCCCTGATCATCCTCGTTGTCTCCTCCATACCCGTTCCATTCCATCCACATCCTTTTTGAAATGAGGCCTCCAGAACTGTGCACAATACTCCAGGTGCGGCCTGACCAATGCAGTGTACAGTAGGACTATGACAACTTGCGATTTGTACCTTTGTTGATACATCCCAAGGATCGCATTAGCCTTTTTTGTCACTGCATCGCACTGACTGCTCATATTTAACTTACGGTCCACCCATACCCCAAGATCTTGTTCACACACCCTGCTACCCAGAAGTAGCATGTTCCTCATTTTTGTTACCCAGATGTAGAACTCAACACTTATCCTTGTTAAATTGTATCTTGTCCACATCCGCCCAGTTTTCCAGTGGAAGAGTCACTTAACATGGATGAAGGCTCCTTGGAGGGTTCCTTTGTTGGAGGAATAGCCACTTAAGTTACATAAGAACATAAGAGACGCTAATGTTGGATCAGGCCAAAGGCCCGTCCAGTCCAACACTCTGTCACACAGTGGCCAAAAATACCAGGTATACAGTCCACAGTAAATAATGGCCAAAAAAACATCAAATAACAATTGTGTACTGCACAAACCCACACCAAAGTTAACAAAAAGAGACTTCAACACAAAGGTAATTCAACACATGTAATTCATCATAGGAAAATACAAAAGTCCACAATATCCGAAAGGGAAAGAACAAAGTCCAGAATAGAAATTTCTCAAAGGGAAACAATGAAGTCTGGAATAGATATCAACACTTTTCCTAGGTATTGTTCAGTGTGTCGGACTTCTGGTCCTTCCTCAGGAACAAAAAGCCACTACAGGAAGTCTCATTGCAATTTCTTAACAGTCAAACTTTATTCGGTTTCTATATGGGCCAGGTCTCCTAAGCTTTAGAAAGCACCTACCAAGGTTGCTATTATGTAAGTTGGACCAAACATGCCTCCAACTTACATACTTACTTTGGTGCGGGTTTGTGCAATACACAGTTGTTATTTGATTTTTTTTGGCCAAAAATACCAGGTGCCATCAGGAGGTCCACCAGTGGGGCCATGTTAGAGAAGGTTTCCTTACACTGGGAGAAAGCTTCAAACTTTGCTCAGTGTAGTGGTTGGATAGGGGTATGGTCTATCCCAGTATCTCCGGGACAAATTCTAGTATTTACAGAGAGGATTCTTGTTGGTCTGCAGTAGAACGGCTAGATTCAAGTCCTTATGGACGAACAAAATTTCTAGGACTATAAGCTTTTGAAAGTCAAAGCCCCTTTGGTTGCCAGCTCCAAATTTGGAAATAACTGGAGATTTTGGGGGTTAGAGCCTGAGGAGGGCAGGGTTTGGGGAGGGCCAGAGTATAATAAGGCCACAGAGTCCACTTTCCAAAGCAGCCATTTTCTCCAGGGGAACTGGTCTCTTTCTTCCGGAGATCAGTAGTAATACCAGGAGATCACCAGTCACTACCTGAAGGTTGGCCAACCTGGTCAGATACGAGATCATATGAACACCTGACGAAGGTCTCTAAGGTTGGTCTCTAAGGTGCTACTGGACTCGAACCTATAAATTATAGTCGGTTATAACTGATTGTTTTTCCTTTCCACAGTTGTGCCCTCCTCCTCCTCCTCCTCGCCCTCGGACTGTCTCACCTTTTTGCAGTCTGTTCCCCAGCCTCTAGCTTTTGCTGCGGCTCTGCTTTCTGTAGATGGCATTGATTTATCTGCTTTGATGCCACAGTGGGCCTCAGCAGACAGAGGAGCAAGCCCCAAGTAAGATAGGTGGGGTTAGCGGCAAGTGTTTCTCCGAAGGGACAAGGCAGCCGAAGGCTGTTCAGTTCATGGGGACTTGGAAGCATTACTTTACAGTTCGAATGCTGTGGTCTCTTAAGCAGCTATCGAATGTGAGACTATTTAATTTGAGAAGCAGAAATGTTTAAACATGTTGTTTGCTGCATCCTGTGGAACTTAAACAAAGAAGAAATTAAGGCATTGAAATGGAGATGCTGCCCTACAGAACCTCTCCTGCTTAAGGCAGTGCACTTGGGGTGGGTACCAAGGTTTAAGGAGTACAGACACCTTTAATTTATGACTGGTCTAAGGACTGCAACCATAAACTGAACCTGGATCACTTTTAATTTTGCTCCTTGGCAGTTGTCTCTTGTGTCTTCTTTGTTTAGTCATAATGTAAGAGAATATTTAATACATATAAGTGCATTTCCAGAGGCGGAGGAGCAGGTTTAGTGCATTGACTAAGAAACTGAGCTGTGAATTGGGGAAGTCCCCCAGTTTGAATTTTGCTTCTGCCATGAATGCATAGGTGACCTTATCCACTCAGCTATGCATCTGCAGTATGGGGGTGGGGGGGGGTATTGATGCTCTCTTACTTACATGGCTGCTGTGAGGAATACGGGAAGATAATGTGCGCAGAACACTTCAGGCAGCATGGGGCCGATAGCTGCACACAGAGGCGGTCTTGTTAAGGCTATTGTGAAGCCCATGACTTATTTAAAAATGTTTCTAGTCCTCATAGAGGTAGGTTTCAGTTTGGAAAAAAAATAAAAAGCCCAAATATTTTCCCCGCATATGTTTTCAGGATACGTTTTATGTATTCCCAGTTTGAAGGTAGTCTTTCAGAATAAGAATATTGTAGAACCTAGTGCAGTGTGTTCTGCTGCTCAAAAACATGGCTTCTGTAGTGATGAAAGTTGCTTTTTTGTGCCTTTGGGCAGAGCTATACCGAAGTTTTTGTTCTGCTGGTGAGTATGGAGAAAGAAAGGCACATCCACGGCACTCTTCCATTGCAGTCAATGGACTTAATTTTGGCTGGATTGTGCCTGGAATTCGGGGAGGGGGGGGTGCATCTCGGGGGTGGAGCGTTTTGCCTGCTCCCCTTCCCCCTTCCTCTCAGAGCGTCAGCTCTCTTTGAATCTCCTGATGAATGGCAGCTGCTGGATTCTTAGCTTGATGGGGGGGGGAGTGGTGTAAGCAATTGAAAATCCTCAGCCCCCCTCCCCATGGCTTTAAGATCTGGCTTGTTTGAAAGGGGGACATACTAATAACGAGCATGAAGAATAAGCCAGGAGATGAAACGACTGGCATCAGTGTACATTAACAAGCTTTTCTGAAGTGGGTAATGTTTTTAAGTCTGCTTGATTGGCATTGCATTTCCTTGAAAATATTTCCCTTAAAACAAAACAGAATAGAACAGAATGGGGCAAGAGTCTCCACACACCTGGTTAAGGGTGAATCAAGGCAAACAGCCTGACTGACCCATCCAGACCATCATTTTAAAATGGTTTTCTTTTTCCTTAGGAAATGAAAATTACAAACAGGTGGCCATGTGTATTCTCTATCACATAAGCATGGATGATCGCTTTAAATCAATGTTTGCGTACACTGATTGTATACCACAGGTATGTGTTTTTCCTTCTTCAAACCATTTTGCCTATACCAGCTCTGTCTCCAGTTTCCTTGTAGCAGAGTTCATAAGGACATTTCAGATGTTGGAAACTGGGACAGTTATTCCTCTGTTCTTGCCTATTCTTCTGTAGAAGTATCATTTTTGCAATTACCTGCTTTGCTTAGGCTTGACAATAGAGTCTGCCTATTAATTTGGCTAGCAAATGTATCATTGTTATTTGTAATGATACCATTTTGGTTAATGCTGGTATTTATGCAGTGCAAATCCCTTAAAAGCCATGGTTTAAGAATTATCCCAGGGAGAGGGCTGGTTTTGGAGTATCGTGTTTTCACGCTGCAGTAAAAAATACTTTGTCTGTCTATTTTTGTGTTGTGAGTTAAGACTATTTCTGTCATTTTTATACTTCTGCTTTTTTGTAGTTTTCCTTTATTCTGTTAAAAGCTTTTTGTTCTTTTGTTGGTGGTAGAGTGACCATTTAATCATTTTTCACGTACAGCTCCCTGTTCATATTTATGAAACTGAATTACATAAGATTTACAGTTTAATGTGTTATTGCAGTTTTTGCTGCTTAATTATGTTGTTGGAGAATGAAGTTGAATAGTTTTGGCATTTTGTGCTTCCTTTTTAGTCATGTAATATATTTTTATGAATATTGTGAAAACTATAAGCTTCAGTATTTGTTATTCGTGATGAGACATTTCACTTTTTGCTTGGATCCTATGCAGTACCAATGGAGCTGCACTAGATAAAGGGAAAGTTTCCTCCTTCTCCTCTCCCATAGTCCTGTAATTTTCTGTGCCCTATGAAATTGTGTCTCTGTGGATTAGCGGAACCCCAGGAACCTTGTGTGGATCACAGTAGCCGTCTGAATCAGGAGAGCAGAACCAATGGAAATCTCCCAACCTCTGCTCCACAAGCAGAAGAGTCTTCTGCCAGTGAAACAGGAATATGAGTTCCAAACAGGACACAGAAATATGGGTTCTAGAGCCATTAACTAGCCAGAAAAGATTCCCTGTTGAGGAATATGTCTCCAGAGCTAAGCGAGGTAAAACGGATGTTCATGTCTGTAAATGCCAGCTAGTAGGCATGTTTACCTGTTAGATCTAATTTTGCAACTTAAGGTAACATTCACATGGATAAGTGTGTGCAAATAAGGGGCTGCAGTCTTTCCCCGGGAGCAGACCCATTGAATTGAATTGGACTTCCCAGTAGATACCTGCTTAATCACTATAAATAATGGTAAAGCGGCTCTCTCCCAAGCCAGTCACCAAAGCAACAAAACCAGACTACCCACAGACAAGGAAAGGGTTTCAAATTCTAGGGATTCTCTAGATATGTAAGTAAACATAACTTTGTAAATTAACTAGAATAAAAGAACTCTGCTCTACCCCTAACAACTTGATGAGAACTGAATATGTTTTAGGATGTATGGAATATTGAAAGGATAACAGGAGAGAGGGGAAATTGGTCTGCTCAGGCATCTGAGAAAATCCTAGAGGAGAATTTGGAGTGAGGGGATTTACAAATTGTTCATCCTCTACAATTCTGCATAGGCCCCCATCTTGTTTACTGTATTTATAAATTGCATGGCATGTATTACTGTGCTAGTCACGAAAGCAGCAAAATCAGATTATTTATAGACAAGGTACACGTATTCCGAGGACTCCTCAGGTATGCAGAAAAATGGTTTTGTAAATTAAGCAAAAGACCAGGCAGAACAAAAGAAAGCGTGACGAGGGCAGAATATGCTTCAGGAGCCATGGAATGTTGAGGGCAGTTGAGCCTTAACCGAAGAGAAACACGGGCCGCAGGGGAAATGAATGCGCTCCGTTCTCTGAGAGCGTATAGAATCCTGGAGGGTCAGATGTTGATAGGGGAAGGGATTTCTAAATTGTCCCTGTCCCTCAATTCCTCGCAGTTTCTTAACTTGTACTTCATAACGAGACAGTTAGGCCCCCCTTCTCACTATCGGTCTGTGTCTTCATTTTGCTGTAGAGTCTGATGGGCAGGGTATTTTGCCGACCTCTCTTCAGCATTGAGGGCCAAACTCCTGCTGTTCTGAGAAACCGTGCCACCAGGGAGGTTCCTTGCCTGTTGGGGAAAGGCTGGGACTCAGTGGCAGAGTTGCATGCCTTGCCTGCAGGAGGTCACAGGTTCAGTCCCCACCATATCCAACACAAAAGGATCATGGGTAGAAGGTGCTGGAAGACCTTTACTCTGCCTGTGATCCTGAAGGGTCTCTGCCAGCTGGAGGAAACAGGACTGAGCCAGATGTAGCCATAGTCTGGTTTTGTATAGGGCGGCTTTGTATGTTCATACTTGGAAGTATCATGAGCTGTAAGAGCGCCATTAACATGCATTTATCCAATGCAAATAATTAATAGGCTCTTAATATATATTTGACAGGCTAACGGCAGACTCCAGTTGTTGGATATAATGTGCGTAATATGCCTCAGTTTGGGACTCCAGTTGTTGGATATAATGTACGTAATATGCCTCAGTTTGGGACTGGGCACGTTCGGGTATTTAAATGCTGTCCTTGAGAAACACTGGTGTGATGAAAGCATAATGAATCTACTACTTTCCTGATTTCGTTTCTGAATCTTCACTTGCTTTTCTGGTTTCCAGTCTTTTACTGTTGTTGCAGTGATGTCATCCAATAATCATATGTCACCATAAGGACGAGTGACCTGTGTTTCAAAAATTAAATTTTGAATTCTCAAGGTTTTAACCAGAATCTGTCAGATTTTTTTTTCTAAGTGCCCCATGGACTATGTATCGCATTCTCTTTTTATGAGCTAGGAGTTCCTGTGGATTGCCAGCTTGCAGCTTCTAAGTTCATTGGATTGATTGGCATGTGTGATAGGGGTTTTTTTTTGGGGGGAGGAGTACCTTTTTAGTGGCTAAACAGGATGCCTTATCACTGGAAAACTCTCTTATGCCTTGCCTGAATTAATAGGTGTTGTTGTTGGAAGAGTTAAAAGTGAGTATTAACAGTCCATTCTTGTTTAGACCCCAGCAGCGTGCGCTTTATTTAAACAGGTGCAAATGCCATCCAGATGTTTGTAAAAAAGCATTTATAGGTAATAGCCTGACCAATCAAAGGGCATGGCTGTGTGGTGATGTCATGACGATATTCAGTATTGTTCCACAGAGCAGTATGCAGAGTTCCCCCACCGCTTTGCTCACCCACATGTCTTCTGGCCCGGGGTTGTCTGTTTGGCCCCTCTTTGATCTGCAGGCTTCTCTTTTAGCTTAATGCTGGTAAATGTCCTCTCTTGACAGCCCCCTTTGCTCTTGTCCACCATTATCTGCTGAAGTTCAGAAACCAGAGCATTACTTCAAACATCAGAGTTAGGGAGTAGCCGGTCAGGAGAGATTCCCGAGACATGCAGTTCTGGCATAATCATTCAAAGATGTTTGAGCTTGGAGGGGGGGGGGTCAGGGAAGGGGCTGGGCTGAGGTGTAGGAACAGAAAACCGTGGGGGTTGGCCTCTGGTCACTGGTAAATAAGTGAAGTCAGGTGCCAGAGAGTCTAGACACAGTGATTTCAGTCCTCGGCTGGGGTATCCGATACTCGACGTGGGACTTGTCTGATTGAAAACTACTGCCTCTTCACTGCACTCGCCATAGCCCCATTTTACTGCTTTCCTGCTAAATCAGGAAAAGATGACAATGGACGTAGTAAAAGCAGAACAAATTTAATTTTAATATTTCCTATTTGGCAGCAATTACGCTCCCCTTTGAAGTGGCACGAGTAGCAATCAAATTAAATGAAGACATAATGGGAAACATGGAACTCATACAAGAGGATTATTTTTGAAAAATTTAAACTGCTTTAGATGAGACTACGGGACCCTTTTCTGTCTCCCCCTTTGTACAGGCATGTGGCTCATACTGGCAACATAATTTTAAAACTCGAGCTAGAATTTAATGTTACTTTTAATGAACGGTAATTTCAATGTCTAGATGTTTTTAGCAAGTTTGAAGGTGACTTTGCTTTCTGCACCAAACCTTGAGGCAGTTAATACCTAGCAGGCACCATTCTCCCTACTTGCTTTGATGGCAAGTGTACTTATTTATTTGACATGGTTGTATATGTGCTTTTCCCTGAAACGATGCCCAAGGTAGATTTGCAACAAAAGAACACAAATGCAGTCATAAGCAATAACGATAAAATGCTAAGACCGAGACTAAACCAAAGATGTACGTTCTAAATAAAATGTCTTCTGGGATTAAAGTATTTAATTGACAGCAGGAGGCCTCCAATGAGAGGGGTAAGTGCAAGGCCTGGTGGGAGAGAGTTCGAATAACCTTTTGGTGTGGCTGCTGAGGAGGCCTTGGCCCTTTAGGGCAGGGAATGTGGCTCATTTGTTAAGCGTTTGCTTTACATTCAGGAAGTTCCAAGGACTGGGTAGTAGGTGATGTTAGAGACCACTGCCCAAAAGACCCTGGAGAGCTGCTGTCAGTCAGAGAAGATAGTAGTGAGCTTGATAGACCAAGGCTGCCGTCACACACACACACTGAATAGTCCACTTTCAATCCACTTTCAGTGCACTTCTCAACTGGATTATACTGTGTGAACTGGCAAAATCCAGTTGTAAAGTGCATTCAAAGTGGATCGAAAGTGGATTATTTAGTGTGTGTGTGACTGCAGTCTAAGGCGTCTAACTCAGTATAAGGCTGCTTCATGTGTCCACATGGATCCTCGACAACCACACGTGTGGAAGTTTGGGTTGCTGTAGCAGCACTTCTTTGGGGGTGGGCTTTTAGCTTGGAGAGGGATAGGCAGGTGGAGGTGGTCGTTTGGATATTCGAGACCAAACTATCCAGGGCTTCAGAAGTCACAGCTAGTATCTTTGTACTGAGCCAGGAAGCAAAGTGGGAGGAAAATATGTTTGGTGCAAAATAGGTGTTATGTACTTACTGCAGCAGGTGTCCATCAGCATTCTGGTTGCCACATTGAAGCATCTGAAGCATCTTCTAAGACAGCACACGTAGGACATGTTAGCAGTAGTCAAGCTAGATGCTACTAAGGCATGCCAGTCTTACTTTGTTTCGCTAAATCTCACAAGTGCTTGTTAATTTTGGCATGTGATAGCAAGTGGAATTGGTTGATTTTTGTTTAAATACCATCATCCATATATGAGACACTTTACAAAGGGATGGAAGCAGAAAAAGAGGCTCCCCACCCTAAGCAGTTTATAGTCTAAGCGGGGCGGGGGGGGGGCAGGCAGGCAACAGGGGAATGGCAGGAAGAATGAGAACATACAGAAGTTCTGCAATGCATATTTTGGCTTAGTTTCAGTAGAAGAAGGGAGCTTACAAGGTTTATGCAGGTGATTTCATGGAAGAGAGGACTGCAGGAAGAGAGAGGTGGCATCAAGTCAATAAATTTTCACCCCCCACCCCCACCCCCGGGTAGAAAATATTTTTTCCTTAGGGGAGGGGACAACTGTGGAAAAGCATTGAGAGACCATACGTGCATAATGCATTTATGATCCAGATCTGGCATTTTCAAATGTTCTAGAAGTGAAAACAGAAATTTGACAGTGTTGAATGCAATTTTCAAGGAATTTAAGATCCAAATGTGGCACGTCCTTATTATTACATTATTCTTATATATAGAAAATTAGATATCTGCCTTGTAAGATTAAAAAACTCTGCCTTTCATATCTTTATAGAAGCCCTTGATCCTCATTAATCCGTAAATTGCAGTCTCAGCAATCTCATTTGCAGCCTATTTTGGATGGCAGTTTCTTTGGTAATGAATGCATTTTGGTTAAACCTTCTGGTTTAACCTTCTCATTAGGGGGGCACAATATGATTGCAGGGTTAAAACACCTCTCTAGGGAACTAAAAGGGCATTGTCACACACAACGTGGTGGTAGCTGGCAGAACTGCGGAATTTCCACATTTTGCTGGGAAAGATTGAAGGTCAAAGAAGATGGGGACGGCAAAGGATGAGATGGTTAGACAGTGTCATAGATGCAACGAACATGAAATTGAGCAAACTTCAGAGGACAGCGGAAGACGGGAGGGCCTGGCGGGATCTGGTCCATGGGGTTGCGAAGAGTCGGACTCGACTGTGCGACTGAACAACAACAAATAAATTCTTAGCACTTAATGGCAAAAAAACATGAGTACATGTCCCGTTTCCTAAATGCTAGAAAGCAAAATGACGTTGATTTGGGGAGCGTCCATTTTTTATGGGTTTTTTTTTTTTGCACAAACAGAAAATGTAACGCTGCTGAAATGCCTTTGGGACTGATTCTTTCTCAGTATGTATGCTTTCTCACTGTTTCTTGGAGGCACAGACATATCTTTTTGGAGGTTTAGCTTGCCACACACTCTCATCCCTGAATCTCAGACTAAAGATAGAAGGGCTGTGCCTACTCCATCTGATCTTTGCACTGACTGTGGTGCAGAGAGGAAGGTTGCTTGTCTTCCTTGGCATAGGAGAAAATAAGGAACTCATGACTTCTGCACCTGTCCAAAGGCTATTTCATGGTGTAGACCTGTAATTAGTGTCTATTGCGTGCTAGTTACCACCGGGGGCCTGGCTGTGATATGCTTATACAAGCTCATGATGCAGATTCATGATCCATCGCATGTTGGATTGGTATTATTTGGTCCTCTATATGGCCTGAGACTCCTACGCTCTCTGTTCCTATACATTTTTACTTTTTGTTCCTGCATGAAAGTTCTGGACACCATCCAGAAAATGCTGCCGCCACTCTGCATTCTGTCTGTGGCTTGAGATGTTTCACTGGATTCCATTGAAGAGCTGGTCTTAGTTTAATGCCACTGCTAAGACCATTGCTTTTCCATTTGGCAAATCTAACGGCTTGAAATTCCTGTGTTGGTAGTTAATGAAGATGTTGTTCGAGTGTCCTGAGGGGCGCATTGATCTGGAGCTCATCTCCTTCTGCATCAACCTGGCTGCTAACAAGAGGAATGTGCAGCTCGTTTGTGAAGGTGAGTGTCATAGGGCAGGGGTCCCCAACGTGGTGCCCGTGGGCTCCGTGGCATCCGCCGACACCTTTCGGGGCAGCTTGCCAAGTATTTTTAGAAAGTGGGTGGGGGCCAGGTGGGCCTTTTGCCCAGCAAGTCTTCCAGGTGGCAGTCTGAGAGTGGAGCGACGGCAGATTTCTAAAAACGCCACCACAGCACCAGGAGTGTGTGACTGGAGGGGAGCTGAGGCAGCCATTTTGTGCCTGACTGTGCCTCTTGCAGCAGCCATTTTGTGGCTGCATGCACCGTGCTGTGTCAGCATCCCAAAGGTGCCTGCAGAGTCAAAAATGTTGGGGACCCCTGTTGTAGGGGTTGCGTGGGATAACTGTTTGGCTGTCACAGGGCAACCGATTACTTGCTCTGGAGAAAGAAGATGCAGGTGCATAGAATGTACTGTTCAGTCAACCTACCTGTATTTCTGATAAGCATGAGGGCCAGCCCTATCCATGTTAAAACATTTTGGGATTTAATTCCTCAGTAGGCATTATTAGGATAGTGGATTGGCACATCTTCAGTGTGACTGAAAAGACCTTAGGCACTTGATCTCTGCCACTTCAAACCTAGAAAGTAGCAACATAACAGATACTGTTATTGAAATGAATGAAATAAATTTCCTTGGGCCACATCCCTTAATAACCTCACCCTTGTTTGACTTAACCTGTGGAGACGAGGTAGCTCTGTATGATTTTCCATAGTTGTCCCATCCCCCCCCCCCATACTCTGAAGCAAAAGGATTTTGCCAAACCTTGACCATAGCCCTGACAACTGCTTGCAAGAAACGAAGAAAGGCTTGATTTGTCTTACAGGTCTGGGGTCTTCACCTCAGAATTAAACATCTTCCCCAGAATTACATTTTCATGTCAAGCGGTATCATAAATTTGTCGTTCTCTTACGCTTGATGGTCATGGCTTAGCAGCAGTTAGAATGCAACTATATTTTGTAAAATGCTAGGCTTAAAAAAGTAAAAAAAATAAGTTAGTGTTTGTGTTAGGTTAGCTTTTTTCGAGTTTTATGAGGGCCCTAAATGGGGTTTTGTCCCTCACTGTCTCACAAGATGCACCTTTCCGATTCTAGGCTTTGTAGCAGGAAGTGGAAAAGGCAAACTGCAACAAACAGGAGGAGGAGAAAAGGTGGGACTCCAGCATGAAAGATTTCTATTGAGCCAAATGGCAGAGGCCACATCCCTTAATTTGTACTTTGTACTCTTTCAGTTAGGGTGAAAGCTTTATGGAAAAGCAACCTGAACCGGATCTGAAAGTAGTGTTGACTGCACATCCTGTTTGCATGGTGGTCAGATGTAATAAAAAATAAATAGAGTATGTAATAAAAAATTCTAGACATAACCCTTCGTTATTGTACCTACAGCTTTTTGAGTCCAGTATAAACCTTTGTCCAAATGAAGTATGTGTAAGTGGATTGTGCATTTACATTATGAATATCTCCATTTTTTCTCTTCACCTTTGGCTTGTGGGGTTTCTTCTCAGGGAATGGTCTGAAGATGCTGATGAAGAGAGCTCTGAAATTCAAGGACCCATTATTGATGAAAATGATTAGAAACATTTCTCAGCACGACGGGCCAACCAAAACTCTGTTCATTGTAAGCACTTGTGCCTTATGGTGGTTTCTGATGTTGTTTCTTTTTTGGTATTTTTGCATGTGTGTGTTTGTGCCCCCGTGCCTGGAAGTTTGGCAACCTCTGGCGGCTCCTATTGGAGCATGGAGGACATTCAGAGAAGTGTCTTGGCTTGATAGTCTGCCTCTGCCTCCCGACTCTTGTATTCCTTGGAGGTCTCCCATCCAAATACTTGCCAGGGTTGGCCCTATTTAGCTTCTGAGATCTGACGAGATCGGGCTTGCCTGGGCTATCCAGGTCAGGGCCCTGCTGTTGTTTCTTAAGGGGGCTCGTTCTCATTTATGCGTGCAGCTCTGCAGATGCCACCATGTTACGTGGCTTAATCCTGTAGGAATTCCAAGGGATTCTGGACTTCATAGTCTTGCTAGAGAGTTTCTGCTAACACTTCTTCAGTTCAGTGCTCCTGCAGCCCACTGTTTTTGCAGAAGGTAGTGTCTGAAGGCCTCTTGGTGCTTGAGTGCAAGTAGGCAGACAGTGGGTTGGATTGCATGAAACTCTTCTGGCAACATTGGTGTTTTCTTCCAGTGTGAGGCGGCTTCTGCTGGCACGAGAGGATCTTCTGCCAGTGGCAAACACTACCGTTAGAATAGTTCCATAGGATCCAGTTTTATTTTTTTAATGCTTTTGTTACTCTTAATCTCAGCAGAGACTCGGGATACAAAACAGTTCACTTCTGAAAATTAGTTCCTGGGATGGTAGGCTGCCCTCAGTTGTTGGTTAAGTTCGCCTGTTGAAATGGGTCTCTGACCATCCTTGTACGTACTTCAGAACAACTGAGGTGTGAGCCCAGGAAATCCCTGGTTCAGATTTCACATCTCTCTCACCTGGTAGTCAAAGGCAAGTGTGAGTGTTACCATCTGTAATATGGGGATAAGAACTGTCCTACATTACAGAGTTGTTGTTAGAATGCAAGCAATAATTAGGTAGATACAAACATTCTACAAGTGCTATATAAATGCTAAGTATAACTTTTTAAAAAAAAGTTGTAGTGGGTTATGTAAAGTGTTCAGCACCAAAAACATTTGGATTAGGATGAATTTATTTATTTATTTATTTATTTATTAAATTTATACCCCGCCCTCCCCAATAGGCTCAGGGCGGCTTACAGAGGCAAGGCAGAACCTTGCCATAATAAAAACATCAAATATCAAATACATAATAATAATAATACAAAGCATCTAATACATCTTAAAATATCCTCAGTTAAAAACATAGTACTCAATACTTCCAACAGTCCCAAGATAACAAATCATAGGTCCAAAAATTCCGAGTGGTACCACGGCTAAGTCCCACGGCTAGGGCTTCTTCAATATCCAGATGTTTCAGATGTTTCCTCAGGGCGGTGGTGGTATAGTAGGGGCGGCGGCTAAACTCTTCAGTTGCCAGCTAAACTCTTCAGTTGCTAAAGTATATTCCTAGTATGTGGCTTACACTAGTGACAGTTGTTCATAATATTGGCAGCAGTGGCATTTGCCATTGTCCGATATGGCAACTGGATTCCCCATTTTGTTCAATGTGAGTGGTGTTAAATGCTTGTAGTAATCATATATGTATAAATGAAGTGCATTTATAGGTTAAACCCACTGGATGTGAACTCTGTGAGGTGGCTTCAGACTCTCTGTAAGAGGCTTTATACAAGCTCTAGGAGCACCTTGTTGGATATTTTGCTAGTGTTGTGTTATAGCTGCCATTTGCAACTGGATTTTCTTGTGCAGACAGGACAGTCAAGTTGTCAATGATTGCTACAGCCCAGCAATAGCACGGTATCTAACGCTGTGTGAACGCAGCCACTGACACATCTCAGGTTTTCTCTGTTTCGCCAATCCCATTCGAATGGAACTTGGCTGTGACAACTATACTCAAATAAGATTTCGACGGTGTATTGTCTCAGCCACTGTACCAGAGCAAAGTATTAGGATATGCGGACACTGTAGGTGGGTTCCACCAGTGTACAGTTGTGGACCTGGAATGCTGAGTACATATTCTTCACTGCTTTTAAAGATAAAGGTAAAGGTTCCCTTGCTCGAAAGCCAGTCGAGTCCGACTCTAGGGTTGCGGTGCTCATCTCCGTTTCAAAGCCGAAGACCCAGCGCTGTCCAAAGACGTTTCCGTGGTCATGTGGCCGGCATGACTAAACACCAAGGCGCACGGAACACTGTTACCTTCCCACCGAAGTGGTACCTATTTATCTACTTGCAATTTCTTGCTTTCGAACTGCTAGTTTGGCAGGAGCTGGAACTAGAGATGGGAGCTCACTCCATCATGTAAAGAGAGAAGCAAAACCCCAGTCAAAAAAGACACAGGAGAGTTACCTTTGTCTTATTTTTTCTTAAAAACTTTTACTATTGTCAGCAGTGCAGAAAGGATTAATTTTAAATACTATTCTTTCACCACCAGCATCCTAAGCCAGATCTCCACATGCAGAGTTAAAATGCTGAGGTGGTAGAATTAGCCATATCATTTTATACAGTAGGGGAGGGGGAGTCACATTCTTAATACTTCCCCATATAGAAGCTATACATGTGACTTTTTTAAAAATCACATGAAGGAGAAAGGTTTTGTCCTGGTACTTCACGTAATCATGTGCTAGTTTTCTATATACAGGGAAATATTATCATGAGACCATTTTTTTTTTAAAAGTGTTCCCTTCACTTATTGTCTGAAGTGATACAGTCAATTCTACCTCCTCAGCACTCTGCCAGCTCATTCTGCTACATATGTAGACCAGAGCTATTTTCCGGTTCAGTATTCTTCATTTCCTATTATTACTCAGTACAATAAAGATAATTAAGTTTGATTCTCCTAGTTTGATATATGTTTTGATAGTGTCATTGTAAAATAGCCACAGTTAATATACAACAACAAAATACTGATTAGAAACTTTGGCCATTCGCTGGAAATTGCACAATTATTTTCTACATCATTTTATTCCTATTTTTATTTCAGTAATTAACAATTGACAGAGTTTGAAACAACTGATCTTTAAAAATTATTTTTAAATCTATTAATATTTTTCATTATCAACAAAATGAGTTTCTCTTTGCTTTTCTGCTAATTACATCTGTTCTAAAATACATGTGTTCTAATGACTTTGATAACTTTAAAATACATTTAATGTGCCTGATTTATATTATCTATTCTTTTATTATTTTGAGTGAAATGCATATAAATATAAGTGAAATTCATATAAATACATATTTTGAATCATGGGCTAATGAAAGTGCTACTTTATATACTATGTAAATTAACTGTCTTCAGAAAAAAATACTTCAAAAGAACCAAGACATCCACATATTTTGGGGTGGGGGGCAAGGTCACTCAGATCACTATAGACATCTTGCTGACTAGTATTAGTCCATTTTAAACTGTCGTTTTATGATGTATATTTTAATTTGTTAGCTGCCTTGGTGGCCCTTTTGAGGACAGAAAAGTGGGATATAAATTTTTGTAATAAATAAAAAATGAAAGTGTGCTAATTAAAATAAACCGAGATAACCCCCTTTTACTTAGGCCAGATGACCATCTGAACACCACAGGGGAGGACAGCAAAACTTGATACTTCTTACCCTGGACTAAGCAGCCTTAGAGTGAGTCACTACAGGATGGCTATGCAGTGCTTCATGAGCTGCTGGGGGGAAAACCTTAATAGACTGCATATGGCGCATAGCTCTTACAGTGTGGATCCTGGCTTAGTGGTCCCCAAAGTAGTGATCGATGAAAAAACAAACAAACCCAACAACACTATAGTAAGGCAGACTTTGGGTCAGATCCTGTTACCTTCATTGGTCTCATGATTTGTTCTTTGCTGACCATACAGTGTTTTGTTGGTTTGTAAGGAAGATAATTGTGAAAACTGGTTAGTATGGATGTCTTCATTAAATCTTGGTTCCTCTTCCCCGCCCCCGCCATTCACTCTGCCATTTAGGTTGTTATCTGATCCAAGAGAGGTCTAATGAACAGTATGAGTGAGGTCTGCACACAAAAATGGTAGAGGTGTCATTGGACATCCTAAAAGAAGTTCTTTGTATGATATATTAGAATAAATGGGGAGACCTGTATCCAAGAGTATTCATCAGTATGGTTTTCTCTGTTCAATTTATCAGGTTCTGCAGAAGATGACCTTGTTTTGGAGGTGGTGATAATGATTGGAACTGTCTCCATGGATGACTCCTGTGCAGCCCTGCTAGCTAAATCTGGGATTATTCCAGCCCTCATTGAACTGCTCAATGGTATTGATCGTCCTCTCAGCAGTCTTCTGGAGTTTACAAAGTTCCCACTTCCACAAGTCTTTAAGCATTCAGTAGTGTGAAGCCCTCCTTGCAAATGCTTATTTATAAGTTTTATTTCTTGCCAACAAAGGTGACTAAGGCAGTTTACGGACAAAAAACCCAACAACAGTAGCATAAATTAATTGCATAACAATCACATTTTTTTAAAAAAAAAACACATCACCTGGTATCACAACACACATCACCAAAGCTGAAGAAACTAGTGGTACAGGAAGTGGTGGTGATCATAGGGATGCTATAAATGTATGGAGGTTTATCTTGGTGAAGGGAGGGGATAGGGGTGCTTTAGCTGTCATTTACAGGTTTCAGTGGGAATCTTACTTAGAATTGTTATGATTGCAGTGTGTACGTGCCCATTCGTTCATACTCATATAGTACTTTTTTCATGTCTTGTAATTGAGAATTTAAAGTTTAATGGGAGATTTTTTTTATTTTGCCTTTTATGTAGCTCAACAGGAAGATGATGAATTTGTGTGCCAGATCATCTATGTGTTTTACCAGATGGTCTTCCATCAAGCTACCAGAGATGTCATCATCAAGGAGACCCGTATCCTTTCTTTATCAACCATTTTCTTTCTTGTAGTGCCTTTCTCTTTCCACTGCTTTTCCACTTTGTGTTTGACTACAGAACTGGATAGGACACCATTTAGGAAACTGGAGTTCCTTATTATCCTTAACTGTGTTGTTCCAGAGGCTCCTGCATATCTTATAGACCTAATGCATGATAAAAATGCTGAGATCCGTAAAGTCTGTGACAATACGCTGGACATAATAGCAGTAGGTGACTTTTTGTTATACAAGTAGGAATGAAAAAACCAAACACCCTCATTATGAACAGCAGTAGCATGTGTAATCTGGCATGTGTCAAGTGAGACTATATATAATGGTGTGCATTATATTTATTTATCTCCTTCCCCACATAATGTGACACTGTTTATTCAGCACATTAAGACCCAGGTTAGACCCATCAAAGGAAGGCACTGTTAGGTGTCGATCTCTCCTGCCCCTCCCCCCAGCCGCCATTTCCAGTCATGGGAAAGGTTATTTCCTGGCTTGTGGGACCTGAGAGCACCAACAGCCGTAGAGGCCTGGAGGGAGGGGACAACGCGACCTTTCTGCCTCTTCCCTGATGGAAAAGGGAGGAGAGGGCGATTGCGCTCCCAGCCCGCTCACCATGGAAGCCTCCTAGCCCACATTGCTATTAATCCACACAGGTCCTGTGATGCTGGAAATAAACTTTGTCATGGTTGGAAATGGTTGATGGGAAGAGGGGAAAATGAGAAAGATCTGCAGTCCTTGTGTCCATAGACCACTGGAGCCAACCCAACATCTATAAACTACAGTTTATAAGAAAATGTTCCTGGTCTCTGAGATGGATAACGTTTGCTTCTAAATAATAACTTGCAAACTAGTATGGACCACTTGTGCTTGTTCTATTTATGAAGGAAGTCTGCTGCTTTTGAAATATGCTGTGACTTATTGTGGGTTTGAGTTTATTACCACCCGCTTTTGGATAATTGCTCTTTATCTATGTTTGTGATTCTACAATCATTGTTATATCGTAGAAATATGTAAAAGGGGACAACAGTTTTCAGGTTGCTTCTCCCTAGCAAATAAACCCCCCCACCTTAAAAGAGAGGCTAAAAGGGAGGGGGAGGTATAATCTGGACTGTTTGTGGGGAAGACTGGTTTAATTAAATCTTATCTGCTGGGGCTGGGTCCTGGATCAGAGGCCCGACTGACTGCAAGATTGTCTCTGCTGGTAGATAGTAGTTGCAGATTGTCTCAGAAGGAATTCATTAGTTGAAAGTGTAACTGATCAAGTCTTTCTATTTTAAATAAATTTTGTTTTTCCGATCAAAAGGTCAAAGCAGCTTACAAAATGGATTTTTTTAAAAAAATCATAAAAAGCAGCAACCTGAAAGCACATAATTGTCAGGGCTCGATAGTCAGGTCACACCACACAGCGCTTCATAAGAAGAATTCTGTTTATTGGTGTTTCATAACTATGACACATGTATTTCTTGTGTCAGGAATGGCCTGAAGCATCAGGGCACCCTGAATTATACTAGGTTCAAAACACCCCCCGTACAAGCAAAAGCCAATAAGCAAAGTCTACGCACGTGGGGGAAAGAGAGTGAGCAAAAGTAGAAGCCGTTTGTTCCCAGCGAGTCGGTAGCAGCTGGTACATCCCAAGGTCAGAAAAGCAAAAGCAGATTAAACCCAGACAGTAGACTTCGTTGGTGTAACAGGCAGAGGCAAGGAGGATTCGCCCCACACATTCCAGAGAATGGCAGTGCTAGCTGACAATAATTTACTATAAAATCCAGTGCCAAACAAAATCAAACAGCATCAGAAGAAGAAGAAGAGATTGGATTTATACCCCGCCCTTCACTTGGAGTCTCAGAGCGGCTTACAAACTCCTTTCCCTCCCCCTCCCCACAACAGACACCCTGTGAGGTGGGTGGGGCTGAGAGAGCTCTGACAGGAACTGCTCTTTTTCAAGGACAGCTGTGCCAGAGCTTGTGACTGACCCAAGGTCACATCAGCAGGTGCAAGTGGAGGAGTGGGGAATCAAACCCGGTTCTCCCAGATTAGAGTCTGCGCACTTAACCACTACACCGCACTACACCGCGCACTTAACCACTACATCAGGGGATAGAGAAGAAAAATAAGAGAGGAGGCCGGTGCCCCTCAGGGACATGCGTGTGAGAAGTAGGACAGTTGTTACAGCAGCATAAAGCAAAGTCACAGAGTGATGCCAGATGGAGCACCCTGTGGATGCAGTTCCAGAAACGGGGAAAGCGCTGAAAAAGTCTGCCATTCCCCGGCCACCAGTTGCCTCCCCTGCAAAGCCAGAGGGCACCTAAAGCAGGGTCTTTGCCGATGGCCATGGCGAATGGGCAGGCTTGTTATGGTGGGGAACAGGCATTCAGATCTCCCACGGCCAAGTTGTTTAATGCTTTGTTGGTCAAAGCTCACCTTGAATTATGCCTTGAAGAAAAAGATACTGGTAACTAGTGCAGAATTTTTAGGGACTGTTTAAGTACGCTCCTTGAGGTGGGTGTCAGAACCCACAGCCAGCAACGTAGTACACGCTTATCAGGAAAGGTAATACTTTATTGAAGAGCTATAGATGCATTAACATAGGCACTGTTAAGAATGGCGACTGCCCCTGGGGCATCATAGGATATAGGGTATTCGTATGCACACACACACCCCACTGCCCTGGCCAATTAGCTACACTCCTGCGCGCGAGCTCCGGCCGTTTAACACTGAAGCTGGGAACCAAACTCTCTCCCATGGTCCCCGAGAAACCCAGACATCAACATCACCACCTGCAGAACTTATAGATAAGTGTTACAGCAGCAAAGAAGCACAGAAGGAATGCACTGGCAATTATAATACAGGAAACCTCCCCACCCCCATGGCAGCATAGCTGACAGTGGGATGCAATAACTTTACTACAGTATTCTGGACCAGTCGGAAATCCTGGACACATTTCAAAGATGAAGGTTCTGAACACTCATGACATCACATATGGCAACCAAGCAGGTGGTTATATTATCGATCACTCAGGAAGTAAATGTAAAAATAAACAGGAGCCCTCCTAGAATAATTTTTCAGAGAGTACAGCCTACTTGTCAGATGCCTGAATATTATTTTAAAGTAACTTCTTTCTGCTGAAACAAATACTTTCCACTGACACCAAACTTGCTTAATTCAAATAACACACAAGGGAGAGAAAGCCAGGTGTAATTAAAAAAAATGCAAGAAATGCCTGTCTACTCCAGCATTTTGTTTCTGCAGTGGCCAACCAGGTGCCTCTGAGAAGTCTATACGCAGGGCAAAGAGGCCTCAGGTCTCCCCACTCCCAGCACCTGGTATTCACTGACTGCGAAGGCTCCGTTGGTAGACTTTTCCTGCCAGTCCAGAATTCATCCAGTCTTCTTTTAAAGCCATATGGGATAAGATCTACCACCCATCGTCTTCCTTGAGTGACTATGAGTTTTATTATTTTGGTATATTGGTATTATTTTGGTAACTGAAAGTATTTTATCTACTTTCTCCACATCCTGCATAAATTCTCTCATATCTCCCTTTTCAGAGCCAGTTTGGTGTAGTGGTTAAGAGCGCGGATTCTAATCTGGGAGAACCGGGTTTGATTCCCCACTTCTCCACATGCAGCTGCTGGTGTGGCCTTGGGTCAGTCACAAGTCCTCTCAGAGCTGTTCTCTCAAGGGCAGTTCTCAAGAGAGCTCTCTCAGCCCCACCTGCCTCACAGGGTGTCTGTTGTGGGGAGGGGAAGGGAAAGCTGCTGTCCAATCCCTTGATCATTTGGGTTGCCCTTTTCTGCACCTTTTCCGAGTGATACCCTTTCTGACATGAGCATTGAGAGCAGGACCAAATGTGACTTATTCCTCTACATGTGGCCATTTAGTAAGCTTCCAACTTACTGCCAAACAGCTTTAATTTAGTTGAACAATCATTTCTAATGAACCATGTTACTGACCAAATTAAGTGCCTGCCACATTAAAGATAGATGGAAAATCTGTTTTCTATCAGTTGTGGTAAAACACAAGGCAAATTAAATGGTTCTGTCTTTATTTAACATATATATATATGAATCAGGTTCATGGTGTGATAGAAACCAGTGACAGAGGCTGCTGATGGGTAATAGCTATGTTCCACTGATGGGCTTCTTATTTAATATCTCACAATGTCGCAATCCTGTGCAGAGTTACTCCAGTCCAAGTTCATTCATTTCAAAGGCCGTAGGCCGGAATAACTCTGCATAGGATTTCGCCATTAGTAATTCGAAGAAGCTTGATTCAGAACTTCAAAACGGACAGCACATCCTGTACAGAAACAAATTGTGTGTCGTTCGCAAATTCTTGTGGTTCACGATGCCATTAAATGTAGAGAACAATTGTAGGGTACTGGGTACTAACTGACAGGGTGTGGAAGAATAGTATTCGCCGGCTGCGCAGGCAACCTCAGTGATTTTGCTTCTCCTGTTCTCTGCTAGTTGGAGTGTTTGGTGGAAACTGCTATTCCACATAAGGTGAGACCTCAAAGGGGAGCAGAGCACAGGGTGGTCTGTGATGATTCTGGCACGGGGGTGTTTCTTCTTCTTCGGCTGGCAAAGGGGCAGGCAGGAAGGGGCAGCACCTCATCCAGCAGAAGACTGGCCCAGCAAGCCTTGATGTACTGTCTGGAGGAGAGATTCACCTCCCTGTTTTTTGGTTCTGTCTTTGAATAGAGTCCCTTTGCTTCCCACAAGCTCTAGCCAGTTTGGTGTAGTGGGTTAGGAACGCGGACTCTAATCTGGGAGAACCAGGTTTGATTCCCCACTCCTCCACATGCAGCTGCTGGTGTGACTTTGGGCCAGTCATAAGTTATTTCAGAGCTGTTCTCTCAAGGGTAGTTCTCAAAAGCGCTCTCTCAGCCCCACCTACCTCACAGGGTGTCCATGGTGGGGAGGGGAAGGGAAAGGGAAAGGAGATTGTAAGCAGCTCTGAGACTCATTCGGGTAGTGAAAGGTGGGGTATAAATTCCATCTCTTCTTCTCTCTTTTCCCCCTTAAAGCAACAGTCTTTTCCTTCTCTCTGTCTTCTAGGCAGGCGGGATATAGTTGTTATTATTTTTTAGTGCAGGCACAGCAAATGGAATTATTTCTGTAGCAAAGCGATTCCCACCACATTTCCTGACACCCACTTTTTTCCTCTAAAGTATCCATTGTTGGGCTAGGAGATGCTGGAGAAAAATCCAGGAGGTATCATCTTCGTGTCTGCAGGGAACACCCATTCAGAAATAGTTGCCTTCATTATAGAAAGATGCTGTGATGTAGCTAGCACCGTACTGTTTTCTTCCATTCCCGCAATACCCACCCCCTCAGAGGTATAATTGTGAGGCAAGGAAAGAAGGTAGTTGAGTGGGAGCTTGTGCTATAGCTTCAAGTGCATCTGGATCGCAAGGGCTTTCTGAACGCCTGTCAGTTTGATCGTGGGCATGGCACAGAACTGCTTGGGGCTTTGATAGATCTCTGAGGGTGATACTGGTAACCAGGGATCATTTCGTAGAAAAAGAGGTACAGGAGCTCATTAGCACAACTCCTTTGCATATGCCACCCCCACCCCCCCGACATCACTGGAAGTGTGTCAGAAGGCAACACTCTGCTGAGGCTCCACTGGACTGTTTTGGATTGCTAGCTATTGGGGGGGGGGGACATGCAGATCTGTCCTCACAGAGGAGGGAGAGCTTGTACCTGAATAAAACTTGGTCTTAAAGGTGCCACTGGATTGTTTTGGATTGCTAGTTATGGGGGGGGACACGCAGATCTGCGCAGAAAAAAAGAAAGAAAAGGAATGGAGGGAAAGAAAGAAGGAGTGGAGGGAAAGAATTCTCTGTTAGTATGTTAGTAATGTTCCTTTGAGATTCTGTTAATAAAAAGGATCTCTTCTGTGCACATTCAGAACCGCTTCTTTGCGTGCTGGGTACTTTTACTATCGCTGATGTGGAGGAGCTTCCTCTGTTGTCTTCTCCATCCGGCTTGTTAGATCCTCCTTCGGGTTGTTGTTAATACGCTCAGTTCATGTACTATAAATCCTCTTCTT